TCTTGTAGGTTTGTCATTACTGGAACAAAGAGCTCTAAAAATTATAGTATATAGTAATGACAAGAGAATTATTAATTTTCACGCTTTCTACTCATTCTTAAGTCTGGCGCACATTGGCGACTTCTTGGGCAATTTGTAAGCGATTTTTCATTGCCCGTATATTGCTTGCAAAAAACATCGTCTGGGTGCGATGACAGCGGACAAAGGCTTTTATTGCCGTTGGTAATTTGCCAAGCTTGTCATTCCGCGACAAAAATTTTCTCGTTATGTATGTACCACCAAGCGATACATGCTCGGTATACCCAGTGGTATCGTTCCGTTCTATTTCACTAACCCCTGGGTACATTCAGGGGGGAGACACATTGTCAAATTATCCGCCCTTGATAACTGTGCTATTTTTATCGACTAATAAAAATATTCCATAAATAGAAAGCGAGCAGGAAGGGAAGTAAGATCGCCGAATCGTTGTTGTAAACTTTGTCAAAATATTTTAGGACACTTTTTTGTGTGCATGTCACTTCTTAGATATTATATTTATATTTTCTATTAAATGTTTTATTTTCATATGTATTTTAAAATATATTGTCTCAGGTGATTTATTTGTATTTTGTGTATGTTATGAGTTAAATTATTATCTACATGTTTAATATGTTAATTTTATGATTCTCACACAATATAATAAAATATTTATATATTATAATTTGTATTGCTGTTTTAATTGAATTTTAATGTCCTTTTCGCCAAAGGAAAAGAAATGAAATGGGATTTAGCCGACTTGGCTAATAAAGACAAGTATATAGGGAATGCAAAGTTCTTTAAGTTAATTTTTTCCCGGACGGCTGCGCTACGGCCTACTGTTTTCACCAACTTTCCTAAAGCCTTCTGAATATGATAGAGAATACACTCTTTAATGAGTTTGTTTCACATCGGATGTGAAGTGAAGCTTCAGGGTAATGGGGGGGGGGGGGGCGAATCCCATAAATATTCGCCGTTCTGTAACCACCCGTTTCGGAGTTACCGCCCTTTTTCTGTGTTAACTGTGTTAACACTTAGATGTCAGCTTTCTTGGCGGGGATCCTTACCAAATTTGGTTAATATCTTTTCTGATAAACTGCTGACAAGACATATCTGTAATGTATAATCAAATTTATTTTACTAGGCCTATTCCGTTGTCTTCGGTTTTGATCTGCTGCCACTTTTCCAACCCCATGTCACAACACATGAAATTTAGGAGTGGGGGGGGGGGGTCCTCAAAATAAGATTCACAACACCATTAGTGTCTTTATTTTGGTATCTAACTGTGTCCAAGGAACAATCCTGTCAGGTTTCATGTTGATCTTACTTGAATTGGCGGGGCGTTAGGCATTTGTTTGAAGCGCTCGGTGACGATCCTTGTCCAAAAATAGCACAATACTTATATAGTCGGGAAATGAGAGTTGGGGCCTGTTTCACGAAATTTTAACTAAGATAAAATCCAAATTTTAGTAATTTGATTGGATAATATTAGATTGATTTTAGTGCTTAGCCAATCAAAATTGAAGTACATGTATCTACTAAAATTTGGATTTTATCTTTAGTTAAAGGACAATATTGATGTCAGTCATTATAAAATATGTGATAGAGCTCGTTAAATACATCCCAAATATAATTTTAACACAGAGATCATTGCTACGGGAGTTGTGTAACAAGCACGTGAAGAAACGGGAAGTGACGTCAAACATGACAAACATAAATTATCCTTTTATATAACTGACTGAAGTAATGAGCGGTAACGTAACAGACAAACGATCGAATTTCATTTCACTGATAATTCCGTTGAAGATGAAAAGTTGTTGTTTGGGACTGTGAAAGGATATCTGACAATTCATAAACAAAACCGAATCTCACTAGATAAGAGAACATGAAAGAAAAATAGAAAAAGTCCGTGCATTACCATGTTTTTATAAGTATAGAATGAATAAACACCCGTTAATGTACGGACTGTTTCTATTTTTCTCGTGTTCTCTTATCTAATGACATGCAATTACTTTTTTGAATTGTCAGATATACTCTTACAGTCTCATATAACAACTTTTGGTCTTCGAAGGAATTTTTAGTGAGCAGAAATTCGCCCATGTATCTGTTATCACCCCTCACTTCAGCCATTTATATAGAGGGGTAACTCCTGTTTTCCTTTTGCGTTCGTCACTTCCTATTGTTGAAACATTGATTATTCATCTATCGTAGCAATGATCTCTGTGATAAAATAATATTTGGAACGTGTTTAACCAGTTCTATCACATATGTGATAATGACAAGCACCAATATTGTCCTTTAAGAACAGAATGAATAAAAACGGGGGAATGCATGGGATTTTTCTACTTTTTCTCGTGTCCCTTATCTAGTGACAGCCAATTCTATTTTTGAATTGTGAGATACCCTCTCACCGTCCCATAAAATAACTTTTCAACTTCAGCGGAATTATCAGTGAAATGAAATTCGATCGTTTGTCTCTTACCGCTCGTTACTTCAGTCTGCTATATAGAAGGACAACTCGTGTTTGTCATGTTTGGCGTCACTTCCCGTTTCTTAACGTACTTGTTACACGTCTCCGTAGCAATGATCTCTGTGTTAAAATTATATTTGGAATGTATTTAACCAGTTCTATCAAATATGTAATAATGACTGACACCAATATTGTCCTTTAACATTTCGAGAAACAGGGCTCTGGATTTGTAACTCATTTTAAGGAATTTTACTACGTTTGTTCAATGAGTATAGCACTGGCTCACTAACTAGGGTGTTCAGAGATTTTTCAACATTCTTTCCTGTTGAATAGAGTGTTTATTGTTTATTCGCTGGTGCTTCAAATTTGTCAAATTAATTAACTTAAACCGCCCAGAGTTTCACAGATTGTTGTTTGAAGGTTGTGGTCGAACTGAATAAAACCAATTGTAGCCCAATATGGGCCAAAATTTGAATCATCCATATTACATTTTTTTCAATTTGTTGATGAAATTTTTTAGAATTTGAATATGATGTGCAGAATATGCATATCTATAATATGTCTGTCTTTCCTTGCTGGTCCTTTATGCAGTAATTTAGACACTGTTGACCTAAAAAAAAAACCTTGTCGGAGTAATAATATGGATAAACAATTACAAAGGATTAACAAGATGAAAGACTGTAATGTATTGATAACAATTAGAAGCGAGATGAATTTAGCAGATCAAACTAATAATTATTAACGAGATGGGAGATAGCAATATATAGATAACAATTAAACACTAATCAAGGAATGAAACCATAACTACAAGATGAAAAGGGGGGTTAACCGCACAGGCAAGAAATCAAAAAGTACAGGGAAGGAAACCATACACTGATTATGTGTTTTTAATTTGTGAAATCTACTTCTATATGTCTTATAAGGATTATAATCTGCTTGTTAAGAAACCCATCTCCAATCGTTTTAAAGGTTTGATTACTTACACAAAAGAAGATAAACAAAATGTCGCCCCTAGTGACTTGTACTAAATAAAAATAACAGGTTAATGAGTTAATTGTAAAGACAATTTAACCAAAATTGAATAATTATTAAAGAACTTGGCTTACACAATAATCTACTTATATCGCTATAGTGAAACAAAACCGTATATGTAACGTGACGACGCTTTAGCCGAGCTAGGCCCGCCCCCATATGGTTTAAAAACGGCAGGAAAAATTGGATGGTATTCAGTGCTTCAGGAACGGCCGAATTCAGATCATAGAAAGTAAACTGACAGTCAGAGAAAAACTTGTATAAAAATTTACTAAAATGGAGTTAAGTGTCGCTTTTACCTTTCTGACATTCGTAGGACTATCTACAGCAGCATGTAAGTTTAGAATAATTAACCATTTTTTTTATATTTTTACCAGACAAAAAATGAATTGGTCAAGAAAAATAATTTTAAAAAAAAATCCAATTAAGATTAATGTTGTATCCCTAAAAAAGCTAGACAAACATATTTACTATCGTGTGATAACAATAACGGACTAAACATTCTTTGGGTAAATGATACTGCTATATATTTGCCGGATATATACCGTTTACTAACACCTAAAAGAAAGAGAAAGAGAGGGAGAGGGAGAGAGAGAAATGGGGTTTAACTTCCACTCCACACAAACTAGATCATTTCGGGACTAACATGGTTAAATTTTATTCTAATAATTCACTAGCGCGTAGGGGTCTTTAGCAGTGAGAGGAAACCGGAGGACCCGGAGAAAACCCACGAGGTTGGACAGGCGACCCGACTCCTTGTCACGTACAACCGGGGAATCGAAACCACGCAATTATACTCAATGACAGACCTTATGATACAGTGCGCACATGCTCGAAAAGAAAGAACATTCCAATTTTGTGAATTCATTCTAATTTTGTTTTTAAAAAGAATACGACATACGCTGCTTTATGTACTACAGTTAAATACTCTATTAAATTAACATTCTTTGCTATCTGTGTTTATTCCATTTCATTTGCATTGTTTTAGGATTTAAAGACACATTATCTTTTCCAACAAGAAATAAAGACGAATGTGACCTATAAAAAAGGGGGAAAACACGTATCTTGATTCAAAACATAGCGTCTTCTAGGTACATGTCTTTTCTGAATGAAATTATAAATATCGTGCTTAGAATTATTAATTAAAGAATTGAAGTATTTTTTTTCTTTATTTTCAGCGTGGGGATACGAGAACAGTGGTATGTATATCTGATATATTCTGCCCCCCCCCCCCATTAATTTTTTAGATAAATAACATTACACCCATACCCAAGTTTTCAAAATGATAATTCCGTGTAAAAGAATAATGAGCATTGCGTTTAATTGTTGCTTATAATTTCATCAACATAAAACGGTATGTTACAGGAATAGAATATGGATGTTATGTCTAATTATATAATTATATTCTTCATCTTATCGTGGTAAAGATAATTTAATTTTAATTCAAAGTGTGGGGAATTATCAATATATTACTATGTTTCAGGTCCGTCAAATTGGGCACAGGCGTACTCTACATGTGGCGAGAACAGTCAATCACCCATCAATATTAAAATTTCCGATACAACATTACAAGCTAGCCTTGGAAACATGACAATGACCGGATATGACACACCAGTCGCCTTAACGATTAAAAACAACGGACATACTGGTAAGATATATTAAAATAGTCATTCATAACAGCATAAGGTATATATGGATATAACCACTCCTCCGCTCCCCCTTTCCAAAAGGCTTGATCTACAATTTTTAAACTGTTTAATTTCGGTTTTGGTCGAAAACGTTTTGCCCCATTGTGAGTGGAAGGGGGTGGGTGTGGGGTCAAGTTGCATTCGTTCGGGTGGGACTTATAATGTGGTTAAATATAAAGTTATACAACCAATTTGATATACAACCAATTTGTGGTTGTTAGCATATAGGTTAAATATAGAGTTTAAACCATGATATACAATCAAACTTCATTTATACTTCAATTGATACTTGTGTTTCCTTACTTAAACTTAACATATCTGTGCTAGCATTAAACTAATTACATTAAAGGGCAACTGAAATGTACGCAAGAGTAGGTGATATTATTATTTCTTGAAAGGCTTCCGAGAAACTGAAATGATGGGGTTTAATGTGCTTTTTTTCTGCCCCGACCGGAATAATGAAAACAGGAGTTTCACAAAGCTGTTATATATTAATATTTTATTATTATTTCAGCCCAAGTTGACGTCACCGGTAATCAATATATTTCGAATGGCGGCCTTTCTGAACAATATAAACTTGCACAGTTTCACTTCCATTGGGGATCTGATGACACTAAAGGTTCCGAACATCAACTTAACAGTAGAACCTATCCCATGGAAGTAAGTTCTCTTTGAAGAATGTTTGTATTAGAGAATTAACGAGGTTTAGATCTGATGTTTTGGTACTGGATCGAATTATCTGCTAGAATATTTTTAGTTCGGAACCAGACGTGTGACTAGAAAAGCTTTCGATTGCTTTTAAAGCCATCTCTTCCCTTCCCTAAGTCACATTACCGAGATCGAAAAACACGTGATACATGTAATCAAAGTAAAATAAAATTCGTGTTGGCCTCTATAATGTGACATATTAGTAACTTTTAAAGTTTTCTATTCAGAGGCAATGGAACATTTCTAATATGGTTGTGAGTATGAAGAAAATTATACTTTTCCCTTCAATTTCTAGGTTCATCTCGTCCATTATAAAACTTCTCTAGGAAGTCTAGGAAATGCTGTAGGTGTAAAAGATGGTCTTGCTGTTCTTGGGTTCATGTTTGAGGTAAGTGATATAAGTTAATATAACCTATTTCCAGTATAAAGACCCATATATTCATTTGTTGATGTACAAAATAAACAAAATACCACTTTACCATAGTAAGTTTGACAATGGTTGGAATAAGAGTAAAGGATATCACCAGGCGTATGCCCGATTTCATTAGTAGGCTAAACCCAATATCATTTCATTTCATTTCTTATGGGCCAAACAAAACATAACATTACGACTAGAATATGCTGTTGAAATGCGTGTAATGCCTAATGTGCTCATATTTATATGTTTTATTTGTAGATTTCAGACTGTGATAATGCTTATTATGATGAGCTTATTTCCAAATTAGCTGACATCACAGCATACAACTCTAGCAGTAAGTATGTTATTGACAATTAGTGGAATATATTACCCATAAGGTCTGTCATTGAGTCAACGGGTGTGCTTTCGATTACCCTCGTGTACGTGGCAAGGGGTAGGTTCGTCTTTCCAACCTCGTGAATTTTATCTGGGTACACTGGTTTCTGTATGTGTAGGATTACGATGTAGAGAGTCCCGAGCCTGAAATGACTCAGTTCTCACTCAAAATGAAAAGAAAAACATAACTTTGATATACAAGCAAGACGCAACAATGCCCGAGTAGTGCAACCGCCACGTCATTTGTTAAAACTGATAAGAGTAACCATTGTTACAGAGGAATTACGACTGGAATGTTCGTGACTGACGATGTACGTTGTGATGTTTGTCTAATTCATTTTATTTTAAATTACAGACCTGGTATCTTTAAACAACACAGCTCTCATGAACTTTATCCCAAGTAACCCAACCAACTTTTTCCGATACAGTGGAAGTTTGACAACACCCTCATGTAATGAAGTTGTTGTGTGGACAGTTTTTACTGAAACTATAAAAATCTCAAAAACCCAGGTATGTTTATTGTCGAAATCTACTGGGAAATGGTCGGGTACGTCCCAGGTAAAATACGATCTCGTATCTTTTAAAGACAGTCATGTCCTAAAGTTTTCTTAACTGTGTTCATTAAAGGATAATGTCAATATTAAGTACTTTCTGTGTCTTGCATACGTGATACGTGACAGATACAAAAAGGGGCTTTAAAGGGTCAAAATTAGTGAAACGGTCGAATGAACCGGTTTACGAATGTTCACTTTTAAAGATTCCCTCGTAGTGATGTACTCCCTTGGACCACGTGTAGTCCGTATATGAGTATCGAGGCTACAATATGGCGGAATTTTGAAAGCTCCTTTTTGAACGATCTAAACAGACATGATCGTAAAGTGTCAGGACTGTTATTGGAGTGATAAGTTAACGCATCTGAGGACAGTTTAATCATGGATCTGAACATAAAAATGCAGGATACATTGATAAAGTAACTGTAATAATTTGAGCTTATGAATACAAATACGCAAAAAATAAAATCCTACGCCTAGTATTAAATAAGACGCAATATGGCGTCTTCCGTAGAGATGATTTTCAATTCTCATAAAATCAATATTTTATTTTACAGATGGCGACATTTCGTACATTGATGTCCTCTGAAACTGATTCCAATAACCAACAATATAATATAACCAACAATTTCAGACCTGTTCAGCCGCTATATTCAAGACCAGTACTTTCTAATTTCTACTCAAGCTCCGCCACAACAGCGTATATTACAGTTTATACCGGTGTCTTATCACTCATCTTATCCAACATTCACTCTCATTAAATCCATCCTAACTCTGTTCTTTTGATGAAAAACCGGTGCATGTGATTAATTTATGTAGGAAGCCGACTTGGGGAGGGGGGGGTATCGTTCTGCATGATTGGCTAATTATGAGGAGTGCCATTTTGCAATGCACGTACAATATTGGAAACTTTAATGAGCGTATATACTGATAGGATATTAGATCGAATTCGTCATTTTTCGTCTAGTTGCAATGTAAATTCATATATATGTATGGACGAAACATATGTTTATTCAGTTAAGACATTCGATTTTAAGAATATCAAATGATGAATGTCTCAGTTGGCTGTGATGTTTGAGATAAGACTACAGTAGTTCTTCTACATCTTGTAGGTTTGTCATTACTGGAACAAAGAGCTCTAAAAATTATAGTATATAGTAATGACAAGAGAATTATTAATTTTAACGCTTTCTACTCATTCTTAAGTCTGGCGCACATTGGCGACTTCTTGGGCAATTTGTAAGCGATTTTTCATTGCCCGTATATTGCTTGCAAAAAACATCGTCTGGGTGCGATACCAACGGACAAAGGCTTTTATTGCCGGTGGTAATTTGCCAAGCTTGTCATTCCGCGACAAAGAATTTTCTCGTTATGTATGTACCACCAAGCGATACATGCTCGGTATACCCAGTGGTATCGTTCCGTTCTATTTCACTAACCCCTGGGTACATTCACGGGGGAGACACATTGTCAAATTATCCGCCCTTGATAACTGTGCTATTTTTATCGACTAATAAAAATATTCCATAAATAGAAAGCGAGCAGGAAGGGAAGTAAGATCGCCGAATCGTTGTTGTAAACTTTGTCAAAATATTTTAGGACACTTTTTTGTGTGCATGTCACTTCTTAGATATTATATTTATATTTTCTATTAAATGTTTTATTTTCATATGTATTTTAAAATATATTGTCTCAGGTGATTTATTTGTATTTTGTGTATTTTATCGACTAATCAAAAAATTCCATAAATAGAAAGTGAGCAGCCAGGGGAAGTAAGATAGCCGAATCGTTGTTGTAAACTTTGTCGAAATAATTTAGGACACTTTTTTGATATTATATTTATTTATTTTAATAAATGTTTTATTTTCATTTGTATTTTCAAATATATTTATTCATGTGATTTGTTTGTATTTTGTGTATGTTATGAGTTAAATTATTATCTACATGTTTAATATGTTAATTTTATGATTCTCACACAATATAATAAAATATTTATATATTATAATTTGTATTGCTGTTGTTTTAATTGGATTTTAATGTCCTTTTCGCCAAAGGAAAAGAAATGAAATGGGATTTAGCCGACTTGGCTAATAAAGACAAGTATATAGGGAATGCAAAGTTCTTTAAGTTAATTTTTTCCCGGACGGCTGCGCTACGGCCTACTGTTTTCACCAACTTTCCTAAAGCCTTCTGAATATGATAGAGAATACACTCTTTAATGAGTTTGTTTCACATCGGATGTGAAGTGAAGCTTCAGGGTAATGGGGGGGGGGGGGGGGCGAATCCCATAAATATTCGCCGTTCTGTAACCTCCGGTTTCGGAGTTACCGCCCTTTTTCTGTGTTAACTGTGTTAACACTTAAATGTCAGCTTTCTTGGCGGGGATCCTTACCAAATTTGGTTAATATCTTTTCTGATAAACTGCTGACAAGACATATCTGTAATGTATAATCAAATTTATTTTACTAGGCCTATTCCGTTGTCTTCGGTTTTGATCTGCTGCCACTTTTCCAACTCCATGTCACAACACCTGAAATTTAGGAGGGGGGGGGGGTCCTCAAAATAAAATTCACAACACCATTAGTGTCTTTATTTTGGTATCTAACTGTGTCCAAGGAACAATCCTGTCAGGTTTCATGTTGATCTTACTTGAATTGGCGGAGCGTTAGGCATTTGTTTGAAGCGCTCGGTGACGATCCTTGTCCAAAAATAGCACAATACTTATATAGTCGGGAAATGAGAGTTGGGGCCTGTTTCACGAAATTTTAACTAAGATAAAATCCAAATTTTAGTAATTTGATTGGATAATATTAGATTAATTTTAGTTCTTAGCCAATCAAACTTGAAGTACATGTATCTACTAAAATTTGGATTTTATCTCAAGTTAAAGGCGTCACTTCCCGTTTCTTCACGTACTTGTTACACGTCTCCGTAGCAATGATCTCTGTGTTAAAATTATATTTGGAATGTATTTAACCAGTTCTATCAAATATGTAATAATGACTGACACCAATATTGTCCTTTAAGATTTCGAGAAACAGGGCTCTGGATTTGTAACTCATTTTAAGGAATTTTACTACGTTTGTTCAATGAGTATAGCACTGGCTCACTAACTAGGGTGTTCAGAGATTTTTCAACATTCTTTCCTGTTGAATAGAGTGTTTATTCGCTGGTGCTTCAAATTTGTCAAATTAATTAACTTAAACCGCCCAGAGTTTCACAGATTGTTGTTTGAAGGTTGTGGTCGAACTGAATAAAACCAATTGTAGCCCAATATGGGCCAAAATTTGAATCATCCATATTACATTTTTTTCAATTTGTTGATGAAATTTTTTAGAATTTGAATATGATGTGCAGAATATGCATATCTATAATATGTCTTTCCTTGCTGGTCCTTTATGCAGTAATTTAGACACTGTTGACCTAAAAAATCCCCTTGTCGGTTATTATTTATATACATTAATTGTGTCTGCGGCTTCTGACTGTTATAAAATATGTGTGTAGAATCAACTATGACCAGAGGATAATTTTGTTTATCATCAACCAAGTCAACATTGCCCCATTAACATGAAAATAAAGATAAAATTAATTTCATCATTTATCGGAAATAATGTAACCTAGTCGACTACTTCCATAAAAAGAGTAGGGGATCACGTAGCTAAGTGGGTAAGACGCTGGCTCGTTAGCCAGGAGGTTGGGTGTTCGATCCCTGCATTGGCCGAGAAAGTTCATCCAGATTTTCCAGCGTGGTTTCCCCTTGTCAGAGATGCAGGACGGAGGGTCTGACAAGGACAGCTGTCTAGTCGTTCGGATGGGACGAAAAACCGAGGTCCCGTGTACACATTGGCGTGCACGTAAAAAATCCCTTAGCAGTTGGAATTCGATATAAGAGTAGGCCGTAGTGCCGCTGCCCGGGCAAAATTTCCCTCATAGCACACTGTATGCCGTTTGCCCGTCTTCATTAGCCCAGTCTAGGAGCAGAACAGTAGGACGTTAAACCCCATTTCATTTTCATAACAACAGGAACAACTGTATCATCTGGATATTAATTTATTCAACCAGCAACAACATTAAAATCAATTAATCAATTAAAATCAATTAACAAGACGATGTGCTTTCTTTTTGATAAAATATTATCTCCCCTTATATGAAACTAATTAATATAATCTGCTAGTTAAAAACACTTATATGTATATACCACTTCTGAATTTATTAAACATGCTACGTTTCGATACACATAGAGATATCGTTATCAAGCAAATAATGATATTTATAAAAAATGTGGTGCAATATATAGATAACAATTGGAAACCGATTAATCATTAATTAAGAATTAACAAGATGAGAGAAGTCATAATATGGATAAACAATTACAAAGGATTAACAAGATGAAAGACTGTAATGTATTGATAACAATTAGAAGCGAGATGAATTTAGCAAATCAAACTAATAATTATTAACGAGATGGGAGATAGCAATATATAGATAACAATTAAACACTAATCAAGGAATGAAACCATAACTACAAGATGAAAAGGGGGGTTAACCGCACAGGCAAGAAATCAAAAAGTACAGGGAAGGAAACCATACACTGATTATGTGTTTTTGATTTGTCAAATCTACTTCTATATGTCTTATAAAGATTATAATCTGGTTGTTAAGAAACACATCTCTAATCGTTTTAAAAGTTTGATTACTTACACAAAAGAAGATAAACAAAATGTCGCCCCTAGTGACTTGTACTAAATAAAAATAACAGGTTAATGTGTTAATTGTAAAGACAATTTAACCAAAATTGAATAATTATTAAAGAACTTGGCTTACACAATAATCTACTTATATCGCTATAGTGAAACAAAACCGTATATGTAACGTGACGACGCTTTAGCCGAGCTAGGCCCGCCCCCATATGGTTTAAAAACGGCAGGAAAAATTGGATGGTATTCAGTGCTTCAGGAACGGCCGAATTCAGATCATAGAAAGTAAACTGACAGTCAGAGAAAAACTTGTATAAAAATTTACTAAAATGGAGTTAAGTGTCGCTTTTACCTTTCTGACATTCGTAGGACTATCTACAGCAGCATGTAAGTTTAGAATAATTAACCATTTTTTTTATATTTTTACCAGACAAAAAATGAATTGGTCAAGAAAAATAATTTTAAAAAAAAATCCAATTAAGATTAATGTTGTATCCCTAAAAAAGCTAGACAAACATATTTACTATCGTGTGATAACAATAACGGACTAAACATTCTTTGGGTAAATGATACTGCTATATATTTGCCGGATATATACCGTTTACTAACACCTAAAAGAAAGAGAAAGAGAGGGAGAGGGAGAGAGAGAAATGGGGTTTAACTTCCACTCCACACAAACTAGATCATTTCGGGACTAACATGGTTAAATTTTATTCTAATAATTCACTAGCGCGTAGGGGTCTTTAGCAGTGAGAGGAAACCGGAGGACCCGGAGAAAACCCACGAGGTTGGACAGGCGACCCGACTCCTTGTCACGTACAACCGGGGAATCGAAACCACGCAATTATACTCAATGACAGACCTTATGATACAGTGCGCACATGCTCGAAAAGAAAGAACATTCCAATTTTGTGAATTCATTCTAATTTTGTTTTTAAAAAGAATACGACATACGCTGCTTTATGTACTACAGTTAAATACTCTATTAAATTAACATTCTTTGCTATCTGTGTTTATTCCATTTCATTTGCATTGTTTTAGGATTTAAAGACACATTATCTTTTCCAACAAGAAATAAAGACGAATGTGACCTATAAAAAAGGGGGAAAACACGTATCTTGATTCAAAACATAGCGTCTTCTAGGTACATGTCTTTTCTGAATGAAATTATAAATATCGTGCTTAGAATTATTAATTAAAGAATTGAAGTATTTTTTTTCTTTATTTTCAGCGTGGGGATACGAGAACAGTGGTATGTATATCTGATATATTCTGCCCCCCCCCCCCATTAATTTTTTAGATAAATAACATTACACCCATACCCAAGTTTTCAAAATGATAATTCCGTGTAAAAGAATAATGAGCATTGCGTTTAATTGTTGCTTATAATTTCATCAACATAAAACGGTATGTTACAGGAATAGAATATGGATGTTATGTCTAATTATATAATTATATTCTTCATCTTATCGTGGTAAAGATAATTTAATTTTAATTCAAAGTGTGGGGAATTATCAATATATTACTATGTTTCAGGTCCGTCAAATTGGGCACAGGCGTACTCTACATGTGGCGAGAACAGTCAATCACCCATCAATATTAAAATTTCCGATACAACATTACAAGCTAGCCTTGGAAACATGACAATGACCGGATATGACACACCAGTCGCCTTAACGATTAAAAACAACGGACATACTGGTAAGATATATTAAAATAGTCATTCATAACAGCATAAGGTATATATGGATATAACCACTCCTCCGCTCCCCCTTTCCAAAAGGCTTGATCTACAATTTTTAAACTGTTTAATTTCGGTTTTGGTCGAAAACGTTTTGCCCCATTGTGAGTGGAAGGGGGTGGGTGTGGGGTCAAGTTGCATTCGTTCGGGTGGGACTTATAATGTGGTTAAATATAAAGTTATACAACCAATTTGATATACAACCAATTTGTGGTTGTTAGCATATAGGTTAAATATAGAGTTTAAACCATGATATACAATCAAACTTCATTTATACTTCAATTGTTTCCTTACTTAAACTTTACATATCTGTGCTAGCATTAAACTAATTACATTAAAGGGCAACTGAAATGTACGCAAGAGTAGGTGATATTATTATTTCTTGAAAGGCTTCCGAGAAACTGAAATGATGGGGTTTAATGTGCTTTTTTTCTGCCCCGACCGGAATAATGAAAACAGGAGTTTCACAAAGCTGTTATATATTAATATTTTATTATTATTTCAGCCCAAGTTGACGTCACCGGTAATCAATATATTTCGAATGGCGGCCTTTCTGAACAATATAAACTTGCACAGTTTCACTTCCATTGGGGATCTGATGACACTAAAGGTTCCGAACATCAACTTAACAGTAGAACCTATCCCATGGAAGTAAGTTCTCTTTGAAGAATGTTTGTATTAGAGAATTAACGAGGTTTAAATCTGATGTTTTGGTACTGGATCGAATTATCTGCTAGAATATTTTTAGTTCGGAACCAGACGTGTGACTAGAAAAGCTTTCGATTGCTTTTAAAGCCATCTCTTCCCTTCCCTAAGTCACATTACCGAGATCGAAAAACACGTGATACATGTAATCAAAGTAAAATAAAATTCGTGTTGGCCTCTATAATGTGACATATTAGTTTTCTATTCAGAGGCAATGGAACATTTCTAATATGGTTGTGAGTATGAAGAAAATTATACTTTTCCCTTCAATTTCTAGGTTCATCTCGTCCATTATAAAACTTCTCTAGGAAGTCTAGGAAATGCTGTAGGTGTAAAAGATGGTCTTGCTGTTCTTGGGTTCATGTTTGAGGTAAGTGATATAAGTTAATATAACTTATTTCCAGTATAAAGACCCATATATTCATTTGTTGATGTACAAAATAAACAAAATACCACTTTACCATAGTAAGTTTGACAATGGTTGGAATAAGAGTAAAGGATATCACCAGGCGTATGCCCGATTTCATTAGTAGGCTAAACCCAATATCATTTCATTTCATTTCTTATGGGCCAAACAAAACATAACATTACGACTAGAATATGCTGTTGAAATGCGTGTAATGCCTAATGTGCTCATATTTATATGTTTTATTTGTAGATTTCAGACTGTGATAATGCTTATTATGATGAGCTTATTTCCAAATTAGCTGACATCACAGCATACAACTCTAGCAGTAAGTATGTTATTGACAATTAGTGGAATATATTACCCATAAGGTCTGTCACTGAGTCAACGGGTGTGCTTTCGATTACCCTCGTGTACGTGGCAAGGGGTAGGTTCGTCTTTCCAACCTCGTGAATTTTATCTGGGTACACTGGTTTCTGTATGTGTAGGATTACGATGTAGAGAGTCCCGAGCCTGAAATGACTCAGTTCTCACTCAAAATGAAAAGAAAAACATAACTTTGATATACAAGCAAGACGCAACAATGCCCGAGTAGTGCAATCGCCATATCATTTGTTGTCTAATTCATTTTATTTTAAATTACAGACCTGGTATCTTTAAACAACACAGCTCTGATGAACTTTATCCCAAGTAACCCAACCAACTTTTTCCGATACAGTGGAAGTTTGACAACACCCTCATGTAATGAAGTTGTTGTGTGGACAGTTTTTACTGAAACTATAAAAATCTCAAAAACCCAGGTATGTTTATTGTCGAAATCTACTGGGAAATGGTCGGGTACGTCCCAGGTAAAATACGATCTCGTATCTTTTAAAGACAGTCATGTCCTAAAGTTTTCTTAACTGTGTTCATTAAAGGATAATGTCAATATTAAGTACTTTCTGTGTCTTGCATACGTGATACGTGACAGATACAAAAAGGGGCTTTAAAGGGTCAAAATTAGTGAAACGGTCGAATGAACCGGTTTACGAATGTTCACTTTTAAAGATTCCCTCGTAGTGATGTACTCCCTTGGACCACGTGTAGTCCGTATATGAGTATCGAGGCTACAATATGGCGGAATTTTGAAAGCTCCTTTTTGAACGATCTAAACAGACATGATCGTAAAGTGTCAGGACTGTTATTGGAGTGATAAGTTAACGCATCTGAGGACAGTTTAATCATGGATCTGAACATAAAAATGCAGGATACATTGATAAAGTAACTGTAATAATTTGAGCTTATGAATACAAATACGCAAAAAATAAAATCCTACGCCTAGTATTAAATAAGACGCAATATGGCGTCTTCCGTAGAGATGATTTTCAATTCTCATAAAATCAATATTTTATTTTACAGATGGCGACATTTCGTACATTGATGTCCTCTGAAACTGATTCCAATAACCAACAATATAATATAACCAACAATTTCAGACCTGTTCAGCCGCTATATTCAAGACCAGTACTTTCTAATTTCTACTCAAGCTCCGCCACAACAGCGTATATTACAGTTTATACCGGTGTCTTATCACTCATCTTATCCAACATTCACTCTCATTAAATCCATTCTAACTCTGTTCTTTTGATGAAAAACCGGTGCATGTGATTAATTTATGTAGGAAGCCGACTTGGGGAGGGGGGGTATCGTTCTGCATGATTGGCTAATTATGAGGAGTGCCATTTTGCAATGCACGTACAATATTGGAAACTTTAATGAGCGTATATACTGATAGGATATTAGATCGAATTCGTCATTTTTCGTCTAGTTGCAATGTAAATTCATATATATGTATGGACGAAACATATGTTTATTCAGTTAAGACATTCGATTTTAAGAATATCAAATGATGAATGTCTCAGTTGGCTGTGATGTTTGAGATAAGACTACAGTAGTTCTTCTACATCTTGTAGGTTTGTCATTACTGGAACAAAGAGCTCTAAAAATTATAGTATATAGTAATGACAAGAGAATTATTAATTTTAACGCTTTCTACTCATTCTTAAGTCTGGCGCACATTGGCGACTTCTTGGGCAATTTGTAAGCGATTTTTCATTGCCCGTATATTGCTTGCAAAAAACATCGTCTGGGTGCGATACCAACGGACAAAGGCTTTTATTGCCGGTGGTAATTTGCCAAGCTTGTCATTCCGCGACAAAGAATTTTCTCGTTATGTATGTACCACCAAGCGATACATGCTCGGTATACCCAGTGGTATCGTTCCGTTCTATTTCACTAACCCCTCGGTACATTCACGGGGGAGACACATTGTCAAATTATCCGCCCTTGATAACTGTGCTATTTTTATCGACTAATAAAAATATTCCATAAATAGAAAGCGAGCAGGAAGGGAAGTAAGATCGCCGAATCGTTGTTGTAAACTTTGTCAAAATATTTTAGGACACTTTTTTGTGTGCATGTCACTTCTTAGATATTATATTTATATTTTCTATTAAATGTTTTATTTTCATATGTATTTTAAAATATATTGTCTCAGGTGATTTATTTGTATCTTGTGTATTTTATCGACTAATCAAAAAATTCCATAAATAGAAAGTGAGCAGCCAGGGGAAGTAAGATAGCCGAATCGTTGTTGTAAACTTTGTCGAAATAATTTAGGACACTTTTTTGATATTATATTTATTTATTTTAATAAATGTTTTATTTTCATTTGTATTTTCAAATATATTTATTCATGTGATTTGTTTGTATTTTGTGTATGTTATGAGTTAAATTATTATCTACATGTTTAATATGTTAATTTTATGATTCTCACACAATATAATAAAATATTTATATATTATAATTTGTATTGCTGTTGTTTTAATTGGATTTTAATGTCCTTTTCGCCAAAGGAAAAGAAATGAAATGGGATTTAGCCGACTTGGCTAATAAAGACAAGTATATAGGGAATGCAAAGTTCTTTAAGTTAATTTTTTCCCGGACGGCTGCGCTACGGCCTACTGTTTTCACCAACTTTCCTAAAGCCTTCTGAATATGATAGAGAATACACTCTTTAATGAGTTTGTTTCACATCGGATGTGAAGTGAAGCTTCAGGGTAATGGGGGGGGGGGGGCGAATCCCATAAATATTCGCCGTTCTGTAACCTCCGGTTTCGGAGTTACCGCCCTTTTTCTGTGTTAACTGTGTTAACACTTAGATGTCAGCTTTCTTGGCGGGGATCCTTACCAAATTTGGTTAATATATTTTCTGATAAACTGCTGACAAGACATATCTGTAATGTATAATCAAATTTATTTTACTAGGCCTATTCCGTTGTCTTCGGTTTTGATCTGCTGCCACTTTTCCAACTCCATGTCACAACACCTGAAATTTAGGAGGGGGGGGGTCCTCAAAATAAGATTCACAACACCATTAGTGTCTTTATTTTGGTATCTAACTGTGTCCAAGGAACAATCCTGTCAGGTTTCATGTTGATCTTACTTGAATTGGCGGGGCGTTAGGCATTTGTTTGAAGCGCTCGGTGACGATCCTTGTCCAAAAATAGCACAATACTTATATAGTCGGGAAATGAGAGTTGGGGCCTGTTTCACGAAATTTTAACTAAGATAAAATCCAAATTTTAGTAATTTGATTGGATAATATTAGATTAATTTTAGTTCTTAGCCAATCAAACTTGAAGTACATGTATCTACTAAAATTTGGATTTTATCTCAAGTTAAAGGCGTCACTTCCCGTTTCTTCACGTACTTGTTACACGTCTCCGTAGCAATGATCTCTGTGTTAAAATTATATTTGGAATGTATTTAACCAGTTCTATCAAATATGTAATAATGACTGACACCAATATTGTCCTTTAAGATTTCGAGAAACAGGGCTCTGGATTTGTAACTCATTTTAAGGAATTTTACTACGTTTGTTCAATGAGTATAGCACTGGCTCACTAACTAGGGTGTTCAGAGATTTTTCAACATTCTTTCCTGTTGAATAGAGTGTTTATTCGCTGGTGCTTCAAATTTGTCAAATTAATTAACTTAAACCGCCCAGAGTTTCACAGATTGTTCTTTGAAGGTTGTGGTCGAACTGAATAAAACCAATTGTAGCCCAATATGGGCCAAAATTTGAATCATCCATATTACATTTTTTTCAATTTGTTGATGAAATTTTTTAGAATTTGAATATGATGTGCAGAATATGCATATCTATAATATGTCTTTCCTTGCTGGTCCTTTATGCAGTAATTTAGACACTGTTGACCTAAAAAATCCCCTTGTCGGTTATTATTTATATACATTAATTGTGTCTGCGGCTTCTGACTGTTATAAAATATGTGTGTAGAATCAACTATGACCAGAGGATAATTTTGTTTATCATCAACCAAGTCAACATTGCCCCATTAACATGAAAATAAAGATAAAATTAATTTCATCATTTATCGGAAATAATGTAACCTAGTCGACTACTTCCATAAAAAGAGTAGGGGATCACGTAGCTAAGTGGGTAAGACGCTGGCTCGTTAGCCAGGAGGTTGGGTGTTCGATCCCTGCATTGGCCGAGAAAGTTCATCCAGATTTTCCAGCGTGGTTTCCCCTTGTCAGAGATGCAGGACGGAGGGTCTGACAAGGACAGCTGTCTAGTCGTTCGGATGGGACGAAAAACCGAGGTCCCGTGTACACATTGGCGTGCACGTAAAAAATCCCTTAGCAGTTGGAATTCGATATAAGAGTAGGCCGTAGTGCCGCTGCCCGGGCAAAATTTCCCTCATAGCACACTGTATGGCGTTTGCCCGTCTTCATTAGCCCAGTCTAGGAGCAGAACAGTAGGACGTTAAACCCCATTTCATTTTCATAACAACAGGAACAACTGTATCATCTGGATATTAATTTATTCAACCAGCAACAACATTAAAATCAATTAATCAATTAAAATCAATTAACAAGACGATGTGCTTTCTTTTTGATAAAATATTATCTCCCCTTATATGAAACTAATTAATATAATCTGCTAGTTAAAAACACTTATATGTATATACCACTTCTGAATTTATTAAACATGCTACGTTTCGATACACATAGAGATATCGTTATCAAGCAAATAATGATATTTATAAAAAATGTGGTGCAATATATAGATAACAATTGGAAACCGATTAATCATTAATTAAGAATTAACAAGATGAGAGAAGTCATAATATGGATAAACAATTACAAAGGATTAACAAGATGAAAGACTGTAATGTATTGATAACAATTAGAAGCGAGATGAATTTAGCAAATCAAACTAATAATTATTAACGAGATGGGAGATAGCAATATATAGATAACAATTAAACACTAATCAAGGAATGAAACCATAACTACAAGATGAAAAGGGGGGTTAACCGCACAGGCAAGAAATCAAAAAGTACAGGGAAGGAAACCATACACTGATTATGTGTTTTTGATTTGTCAAATCTACTTCTATATGTCTTATAAAGATTATAATCTGGTTGTTAAGAAACACATCTCTAATCGTTTTAAAAGTTTGATTACTTACACAAAAGAAGATAAACAAAATGTCGCCCCTAGTGACTTGTACTAAATAAAAATAACAGGTTAATGTGTTAATTGTAAAGACAATTTAACCAAAATTGAATAATTATTAAAGAACTTGGCTTACACAATAATCTACTTATATCGCTATAGTGAAACAAAACCGTATATGTAACGTGACGACGCTTTAGCCGAGCTAGGCCCGCCCCCATATGGTTTAAAAACGGCAGGAAAAATTGGATGGTATTCAGTGCTTCAGGAACGGCCGAATTCAGATCATAGAAAGTAAACTGACAGTCAGAGAAAAACTTGTATAAAAATTTACTAAAATGGAGTTAAGTGTCGCTTTTACCTTTCTGACATTCGTAGGACTATCTACAGCAGCATGTAAGTTTAGAATAATTAACCATTTTTTTTATATTTTTACCAGACAAAAAATGAATTGGTCAAGAAAAATAATTTTTAAAAAAAATCCAATTAAGATTAATGTTGTATCCCTAAAAAAGCTAGACAAACATATTTACTATCGTGTGATAACAATAACGGACTAAACATTCTTTGGGTAAATGATACTGCTATATATTTGCCGGATATATACCGTTTACTAACACCTAAAAGAAAGAGAAAGAGAGGGAGAGGGAGAGAGAGAAATGGGGTTTAACTTCCACTCCACACAAACTAGATCATTTCGGGACTAACATGGTTAAATTTTATTCTAATAATTCACTAGCGCGTAGGGGTCTTTAGCAGTGAGAGGAAACCGGAGGACCCGGAGAAAACCCACGAGGTTGGACAGGCGACCCGACTCCTTGTCACGTACAACCGGGGAATCGAAACCACGCAATTATACTCAATGACAGACCTTATGATACAGTGCGCACATGCTCGAAAAGAAAGAACATTCCAATTTTGTGAATTCATTCTAATTTTGTTTTTAAAAAGAATACGACATACGCTGCTTTATGTACTACAGTTAAATACTCTATTAAATTAACATTCTTTGCTATCTGTGTTTATTCCATTTCATTTGCATTGTTTTAGGATTTAAAGACACATTATCTTTTCCAACAAGAAATAAAGACGAATGTGACCTATAAAAAAGGGGGAAAACACGTATCTTGATTCAAAACATAGCGTCTTCTAGGTACATGTCTTTTCTGAATGAAATTATAAATATCGTGCTTAGAATTATTAATTAAAGAATTGAAGTATTTTTTTTCTTTATTTTCAGCGTGGGGATACGAGAACAGTGGTATGTATATCTGATATATTCTGCCCCCCCCCCCCATTAATTTTTTAGATAAATAACATTACACCCATACCCAAGTTTTCAAAATGATAATTCCGTGTAAAAGAATAATGAGCATTGCGTTTAATTGTTGCTTATAATTTCATCAACATAAAACGGTATGTTACAGGAATAGAATATGGATGTTATGTCTAATTATATAATTATATTCTTCATCTTATCGTGGTAAAGATAATTTAATTTTAATTCAAAGTGTGGGGAATTATCAATATATTACTATGTTTCAGGTCCGTCAAATTGGGCACAGGCGTACTCTACATGTGGCGAGAACAGTCAATCACCCATCAATATTAAAATTTCCGATACAACATTACAAGCTAGCCTTGGAAACATGACAATGACCGGATATGACACACCAGTCGCCTTAACGATTAAAAACAACGGACATACTGGTAAGATATATTAAAATAGTCAT